ACCTACAAAACTTAAAATATTTACTAGCTGGCCTTTAATAGAAAAAGTTTGCCAATCCCTGATACAGCTCAACCTTGAAACCTCCTAAATGTACAAAGAGAACCAGACTGCAGAAATTTCACACCTACTAAGGAAGCACAAGCCAACACGGAAGCAACTTAAACAGCTTCTTGATCTAAATGACTTGTACTGTTCCATACTGAAAATGTTTACAAATTTGAGAAAAGGTACTCAAATAAAAGAAAATATGGCACCTAAAGTCCCTATCAATAGGAACTTCGAAAATCCACAGTGCTTTGAAAATTTACTTTTCATGGTGTGGAACCTATAGATAAGACATACAAGTTTCATTACAAACAAAAATAATTTTTTCCCATCTTGTGCTAAAAACATTTCTCTTACCTCAATGAAATCTGCTCGAGCTGGCATGTACCCTGCCATATCCCGGGAAAGCAAGGAGTCAAAAGTAGGTCGGGGAGGGTCATCTGTAGCTGGAAGAATTTAGAGTTTTCTAAGTTAATTAATAAAATATTGGCATAAAAAAGCACCATTAAAATAAAACCCTTATTTACACTCTGAAATATTTTGGTTTAGAGAAGGACTGTGTCTTAGAGAATGAATGAAATTAAAGGAGGTTTTGTAAAGGGAAAAGTGAAAAGATAATAAAGAATTGTGGAAACAATGATTTCTTAAAAAGGAAAACTAAGACTTAGGGAATTCTCTAAGTAAATATGGAGAAGGAAGTACTCTCTGATTTCCACATTCTTAAGATGAAAAAAGGCTGGGCTGGAGGTTCACACCTATAATCCTAGCACTTCAGGAGGCCAAGGCAGGAGGACCATTTGAGCCCAAGAGTTTGACACCAGTCTGAGCAACATAACACACATAAGACACCAACTCTATGAAAAAAATAGAAAAATTATCTGGGTGTGGTAGCAGGTACCTATAGTCCCAGCTACTCAGAAGGTTGAGGCTGGAGGATTGCTTGAGCCTAGGAAATGAGGTTGCGGTGAGCTATGATGAAGCCACTGTTCTCTATTCCAGGCAATCAAGTAAGACCTTAATCTCAAAAAATGATAATGGTGGCTTGGTGCCTGTAGCTCAGTGGTTAGGGCGCCAGCTACATATACTAGGGCTGGTGGGTTTGAATGCAGCCCCAGCCTGCTAAACAACAATGACAATAACAACAAAATAGCTGAGCGTTATGGCAGGTGCCTGTAAGTCCCAGCTTCTTGAGAAGCTGAGGTAAGAGAATTGCCTAAGCCCAAGAGTCTGAGGTTGCTGTGAGCTGTGACACCACGGTATTCTACTGAGGGTGACATAATGAGACTCTGTCTCA